ATATATATATATATATATAGGAAGCATATCAAGTGAGAGAAAATTTATTATGAGAGATAAGATGGTTAAAATATAACTCTTAGATTAATTTCCTTTCACTTGATTAAACCCCAAATTTTCTCTCACTTGATTAATCTAAGGGTTATATTTTAACCCTCTCATCTCTCATAATAAATTCTCTCTCACTTGATATGCTCCCTATATATATATATAAAGAATGTTACCAACACTCTAATACTCATTAACATTTTATTTGTTATTGTTTGAAATTTATTAAAAATTACAAAATTTATGGTCTTACATCTCATTTAATAGGTAATTATATTGATTTAGTTGTAAGACCACAAAAATTTATGATTTTTGGTCAAAAGTATGGTGAGTATTCTAAAGGAAATATCACTAACATTTCTAAAAAAATATTAATATTAGATTGAAAACCGAGAAAATCAATCATTTTAACATTTTTTAAAATACTCTTTCCATTTTTTTTCATTGTCATTTTCCTAAAACCGATGACTCATTATTTTTTTTTTCATTTTTATCCTTGATAATTAATGTATGTTTACTGTATAATGTGTCGATTTATTTTTAATGTACTACCTATTTCTTCTCCAACCACCTATGTGAATTAATGTTACATTTATGAGGACAACGTATTTTCAACAATATTATTTATCCATGAATTTTTTTTTCTTTTCTCAATATTCATTCAAGAATTAGGATATCTAAAAGACACAATTTACTTAAAGGTGTGATTAAATAGAGTAGGTTAAAGTTCACATGTGTATTCTAATAATAAATGTATTAATTCATAGACTTCTCAAAAAATATATAATAAAAATAAGTGTACACAAATCAACAGTCTCAAGACTTGAATGCAAAAAAATAAAAAGAAAAAATAAAGGATATAATAGAAAAGTAAATAATAAATATTTTTGAAAACTAAAATATCAATTATTTCCTTAAAAGTCGTGCAAAAACCTTAAATAATTATGAAAAAAAATGGAGAGAGTATTAAAATTATAATCATTTTGGAATGAAAAAAAGTAATAAAAGTTAATGATAAGAAAAAATATAATAAAAAGTATATTAAGAGTTCAATAGTCATCATAGTATAAATGGTGGTTTGTGATTAATTTGTTGAATGTTCAATAACAATGTAAAACTACTTTGGATATGTTTTGGTAAATTCTCTCAAAAGAATTTTTAGGAAAACAATAGGAAAAAATTGAAATAATTTTTTCTATAAATTAAAAGTAATTTATGCGTAAATTAATTTATAGAAACTCTCTAATTTTGGTTTATTCAAAATCTTACCTTTAATTCACATGTAAACTAATTTTAGATTATGAAAAAGCTTTTTCCAATTTTTCTTCGGATTTTCCTCTCTTATAAATATTTCTAAAAGAATTTATCCAAATAAATATTTTATACCGTTGGATACCTAATTTATTTTCTCCATTATTATACTCCCCTTTAGTAAAAATTATAATTATAAATTATAATAGTTTATAGGTCTCATTTTTTATTTAACAAATATTATTTATAGCTTTAAAATTTTAAATAAATTTCAACTGTAATAAATAATGTATTAAAAATATATTAATAATATTTGTTTTTATCTTAATATCCATCATTTTGTTTCCAGGGTATTATTTTTTTCCCGCGCATGTTTGGGTTTGAACGAACGGTGTGGATCGGTTAAGAGGAAGATGGACGGTCATGATGGGAAATGGGGAAATGCATAGCTGTCGAATGGAAAAGGTTTATCTTATGGATAAAATTATATTTACTCTTAATTTGAATTTGTATTTTTTTACGGCATTGAATTTCTATTAAAATATGATAAATAGTTAAATACTATGAATTTGAATTTAAATTTGTGTCAAAAGTCTTCTATTTTGAAAAAACAGGAAGAAAAGCATTTAATATTATCATTAATGCATTTTATCTCCAACATTTAATTATTTCATGTATTTTTGAAAGATGTTCAATGTTATATAATTAATGTATTCTATGTTTAACATGTAATTAATTAATGCATTTTTTAAAATGTTAAATATTATAATTAATGCATTTTATTTTCAACAGCAAACTACTTACTATTAATAAATGTTTGTCGATAAAATGTCTTCAAAATGTAAGGGTAATAAAAACATGTTAAAAAAACAAAATTCAGAAGAAGGAAGCCAATAGGTTGAAGATACTGATTAAGGAGTATATTATATTAGAATTTTTGGAGAATTAAGAATACTTTTTATCATAAAAAAGTTTTGAGACAGTTTTATC